CAGCAGCAGCCTTTGCTGCCCGGCGACGCTGGCGCTTGATTCTGCGCCTGTCTGCGCGAGACTGGCGCAGTCTCTCCACCAGCTCAGCCTCAAGGGGCTTCCTGCAGGCGGTTGAGAGTGCCATGTGCACGCTGATGTTCCAAGACTCCAAGAGTTTGTTCAAAATTGGGTCGGAGTGTTGCAGACAAGTGTTTTGTCAACATCCGACCCAAGGAAAGAAACACAACTGATGTGGAAACCCATCCAGGCAAGTTGATTGCAGCGTAAGCACACGTGTTTTTTTCTGCGGTGTGCCATGCGGTGTTGCTTTTTTGGGGTAAGGTCTTGATGCTGCGGGATGTTTCGTGTGCGGAATTTCAGCTGCCAGCCATTCGGGCAGTCAGTGCTGGCCAGGTTGCGCAAATGGGGTGTTTGAGAAGCAGCGGCTTCATTCATCATATTTTTAGAATGTGCTTCGCCATTCTGTATGCAAGGTAAGCCCGTGGAGCAGGTGTTTGCGTTGCATATAGATCCACACGGCTTCCGCTGGGCCCCCACAGGCCACGTGAAATGTTACCGCTCATTGCTTTAATTGAAGATATCCAGAAAGCTGAGTCAGCCGAGGCTTTGGGAGCGCGTGCTGTCTGAGCCTTGCAACACCTTCCCTGCAGTTGGGCATGTGAGGGGCAGCGATGCCCTTGCCGTGGTGGTGACGCCCGGCGGTTTCTTTGGAGCCTAAGTTGCAGAGTCGCCATGGACGTTCGGCCCAAGGAAGCCACTTCCATGGACCCCACCCGCCCACACATCATGGAAAACCCAGAACTGCCGTTGAGTGCTCCGAGGACAGGAGGAGCTTACGGGCAGCATTCTGGCCTTGGATGCGGCGACGGGCGACACGATTTGGGAGTACCAGGCCAAGCCATGGAGCCGCTTGCTGAAATTGGCATCCCATTGGTCAAGTATTCGGCCGCGGGTCCCGGCAAGTTGCAAGCCTCGCAAAGTAGCCGTGCAAAATGGTCAATCCAGCCATGAGCGCAAGTCTTTTTTGAGGGTGCCCCCACTTTTTGGGTGCTTTTCCAGAAAACGGGAACCCCAAACAGGAACCCCGCCTTTTTGGCTGGGTCCGATTCTCCTAAAAAAGAGAGACCAAACACCGTAATTACATGGCTTTACGCCACCTGTGCGTCGCAGGTGGCGTGCATGGCTTCGGCGCCGGTGACGTGGAGGGCCTGGCCACACGCTTGCACGACCGGATTCAGTTCATGTGCCTTTGCCCAAACCTGACCTAGCCTTTTGGTTTTCCTAGTTTGGTCTATTTCCCCAACCAGTGTGTCTACACTAAGGGGTTCTTACGGTAAAAGAAAAGGCCTTGGTGCCAGATTGGGGTGCCCGCTCTGGCCGCGAGCGTTTTGCGTGGTATTTACCGCAGATTCGTGCTCTTGCTTGATGTCGAAGTGCGTTTTGACTGCGCAGGCTCGCACAAAGTGAGTTGGCGACTTCTGGCCGCGAGCGTTTTGCGTGGTATTTACCGCAGATTCGTGCTCTTGCTTGATGTCGAAGTGCGTTTTGAATGCGCAGGCTCGCACAAAGTGAGTTGGCGACTTCTGGCCGCGGGCGTTTTGCGTGGTATTTACCGCAGATTCGTGCTTTTGCTTGATGTTGAAATGCGTTTCGATTGCGCAGGCTCGCACAAAGTGAGTTGCGACTTCTGTCCGCGAGCGTTTCGCGTGGTATTTACTGCAGATTCTTGCTCTTGCTTGATGCTGAAGTGCGTTTCGACTTCGCAGGCTCGCACAAACTCGATTTTTTTGCTTTTTTGGCGGCTCCGGGGGTTTTGTCTCGTGGTCCGGCGGCACGGGTTTCCGGCGAAAGGTCCCGGGCTCGATTCCCGCCCTGTCCGCGCGAGCTTGTTTCCCTTTCTTTGGGCATGCTTGGATGGTGCTTCTGTGCTGCGACGGCGTCTCGATGGTACTCTGAACAACAACACCCAAAAACAGCAACAGCAACAGCAACAGCGCCACAATCGAGAACAAAGGAAGAAGCTACCTAGCTAGCTAACTCACTAACTCAGGCACTCTGGTGAAACAAACACACAGATCTTGCCTTTTGTAGTGATGCTTACCCACACACACACGCACACACACACACGCACAAACACACGCACACACGACCATGGCGCTGGCTTCGACACGTGTCTGCTGCATTCTCTTGCGCGTGTCTGTTCCAGGCCGTGTCCTTGTCTTTGTGAATGTGCGCGCAAATACCGCAAAATGATGTTGCAGCTTCCTGACAACAACCGCCGTTTTGCGGCGCAGCCCGCACAATACTCTGCAGCGTGTGACCGCCGCCTATCACTGTTTGGGGTCTCGTGCCGGGGTAATTTTAGTAAAGGTCCCAAAAGGATCCAAAAGGTTAACCTTTTGCTTTTCCTAGTTTGGTCTATTTTTAGTAAAGGTCCCAAAAGGTTAACCTTTTGGCTTTCCTAGTTTGGTCTATTTTTGGTAAAGGTCCCCACCTTTTGGTTTTCCTAGTTTGGTCTGTTTTTAAGGTCCCAAACGGTGAGCCTTTTGTTTCTGGGTCCTTTGGGACACTGAGGTGCTTGTCAGCCCACTGGAGCGCGCCGATGATCGATGGAGACGGCACCGTGCTGGTGGGGCGCATGGATGGCAAGCTCTACCAGGCAAACTGCCTGACTGCATGCCGTGCTGTGCTGTTGAGCCTAAGACATCAAGTGCCTGAGGAGGTGCCATGGTAATTACGCGGATCAGTTCGGAAACATTTTTTTTATTCGGGGGAGCTTCATTCGGCCAAAAATGCTTGGGGCATGAGCCAGCACAAACTTCCTGGATGGCATGGGTCGTTCCCTTCCCTCAGATGGCAGGAAGAACATCGCCGGTGCCAGGTGCTTGGCCCCGAGCGCGAGTTCGTTGACGCGGAAAACACCGAGGCGCCGTGGGTTTTGCCATGGGCGCCGAGAGAGCCATGAGCCAAATGGGTAGGTTTTTGTTTTGGGGGGGACCTGCACGATGGGCGGGTTGGTTGGGTGATTTCGGGCTCTTGGTTGGGAGGAGCTCAACTTGGGGAAGGAAAACACCTAGATGATGCACCAGTCGGTCAGTAATGAAGCTAAGGAAGTCTAACCGGATGTTTGACTTCTGGCATTTGGAAGAGTTGGAAGGCATGAGCACGATGCTTCGCAAGGCATGCTAGCAGCCTCCAGATCACAAAGTACAGTCTATGAACCACCCACATCCAACTGTTACATCTTGTTACCCTGCTCAAGAAAACCAAAGCCCCCCTTTTCAAAAAAGGTTCTGGGTTCTGAGCAGGGTTCCACGAACCTTTGGTTCCCTGACTGATTGATTGATTGATTGATTGATTGATTGATTGATTGATTGATTGATTGATTGATTGATTGACTGACTGATTGATTGACTGATCGATGGATCGATTGATTGCAGAATTGATGAATTGGTTAATTGATCGTTTGATTGCTCGATTGGTGGATGGTTGGACTGGATGGGTTGGATGTGAATTGAATTGATTTGTTTGTTTTGACTTGGTTTGACTTGATCTGATGCAATTGCTCCAACCCACCAGCCAATTCAATTCCCCGCAAGTTGAATCCATTCGACGCAACTCACACAATTCACCGAAATATTGCCCAAAGGATCTCGTTTGGCATTTTGGACGTCATGTTCTTTGCTGATTCGTGGTGTTGGGATCTGGCTCGCTTTTGGGATCTTTGGGCCCAGCCGAGCGAAAGCGCGACCGATCCCCAGGTGAGCACCGGGGTGGCCGCGCGGCTCATCGATCTGCAGAGCTCCAGCTTGCACGGGGCACTCTCGGCGGCACCGGGGATGTTCGCCGTGTCCACCTGCGATACCCTCCGCGTGTTCAAAGCCTGAGCCAGATCGGCCGATGCCAAAGCGTCCTTCAGCGCTTCCCATGTCCTCTTTTTTTGGGGAAGGGTTCCCCTTCAAACTCAACCAACCAAAAACAGCATGCCCTTCCACTGGGCATCTGAGAATCAACTACCAAAAGACATGTACCCTTTTTCTCAAGGCCACTGGAGGTCTCGGGCCAGGTTTCTCCGCCAGTGTCACGTTAATGGGGCGAACCTCCCTGGAGTGGTTTCTGAATGTGAGCTTTTGACGTCATAGGTTTTCAGCTTTAGAAAATATGGAGGACTATGACAAGCGTCGCATAGTGGCATTTTTGGTTGGGAGCAAAAGCTGAGATACAAGAGGAAGGGGTACCTCGGTACCCCCAACAGGAGAATTTGTGGATTTTAGTGCTTTCGCACATGCAGGAAAACAGAGTCCCTGCAGCGAGACTGTTTTGTTGGGCACAGCTTCTTGGCTGCGGTAGTCAAGGCGGCCAAGCGCACTGTCCAGCCAGGGGCAAAAAGGCGCGCAGTGGTTTGCCTTCTTGGTTGGCCGTTTTTTAGTGGATTTTTAAAGAGCGACAAGCCATTTTGAAGAGAGTCCAAACTGAGACAAAGCCATTGGGAACAGGGAAGGCTAGCAAAGGCGACCAGCAAGTTGCCGGAATCATGGTGATTGCGCTGTGTCCTGCCAGTGCTCGCCACTGCTGCCATGCCACGCTGCTGATTCCAGATTGCTGCCGTTGATTGGCATCATCCCGCCAGTAGATCAATGTTGGATCTGGATGGTAAACCGACCAACCTGCTCGCCTGACCTGCAAACACATCTCTCCCAGGGCCCGTCACCAAGTCAAGTCACCACCTCGGTGAGCCGAAATGCGCGCGATATCCATGTGTAGGGCCCAGTTTCTACTCCACCAAGGGGATCCCCAAGTGACAACGTTGTTTCCCATAAGAATATTTCACTTTGAAATACCACATGTTTGTCCTGTCCATTTTCTACAGTGGATGATCAAAATCCATTTCGCACCACTTTGACACCATGGTGAACCACGGTTTGTTTGTATTTTCCTTGACTCAAAACATACACCTGGGTTCTTAGGCGCGAATTGGATTTCGCAACCGTCCACCTCAGGTTGCAGGAGGACCTGGGGAAGATGAACTGGGACCTGGTGGAGGAGCTGCGGACAGCTGGGGACCTGGGCACTGTGAAGAAGCTGCAGCTCTTTTGCTCCGCGCAGGCGGGAGCCGGGAGCTGGGAGCCGGCCGAGGGATCGAGACAGGTTCCCCGGTTTTCTTTGGTTTCGACAAACCATATACACACATTTATGAGATAATACATATATATATATATACATGTATATATATATATATATATGGTCTATGTATATGGGAGGGGGGGAGTCTGGGAGTCTTTTGGCGGGTCATTTTTTTCAGGATGCGTGTTTTGGGATTTGTTTGTTTTTGCTCACGGCTTTGGTGGCTTTGTATGGGTGAACTGTTTGTTGTCGTCTGTGTTTAGTGCTGGCTGGAACCAACATGAAAAACAAACTGTGAAACCCTGGGATTTAAAGCAGGAGGTGAATGAGCATCCCTGCAAGATAGTTTACTCGTATCCAAGTTTCCTGCACAGGTTCCACGCTTGCTTTGGCCCTTGAAAAGTACCCGTCCTGATTAAATGGTGCAAGCGACGTCCTCAACAGAACTATCAACACCCCCAGCATCACAAGCAACATGGCCGTTGTTTGGCTTTTGTACCCTTAAACCAACCCTGAACCACCACTACACCCACCCTAAACCACAACTAAAACTAAACCAGCCTTAAACCAAACCTAATCCCGCCCTAAAGCCTAAAAAGCACCCTAAAGAATCATTAAACCCGCCCGGGACCCGCCCTAACCAATCCAAAACCCACCCTAAGCCCTTCCGCCGCCTATAGGGGCTCGGGCGTTTGTCGTCGAGGGCTTGAAACAAATTCGAGTGCCAAGGAGAATATGTCTTAGCAAAACACACGGTTTTCAGCAAACTTCGTGTTTACAGTCGGACGCTGAGGCGCCTTCCGTGCTGAAAGTTTTTGCAATGGGTTTGGGCATTACAAAATGCCTTACCTGTCGCAGTGAGCTTGGCATGCTGCGCGCGTGCGTGCGGAAAAACAGAAGATGGTTCCACTCACCGAACTGTCTCTCTCTCTCTCTCTCTCTCTCTCTCTTTCTCTCTGTTTGTGTGTGTGCGTGCTTGTGCTTGTGCTTGTGCTTGCGTTTTGTTTGTGATTGTGATTGTGTTTGTTTGTCCTGCGCCTTCAACAACGCCATGTGCAATTGTATTGCTGCGTGCCCATGTGGTGACTATGGCTCCATATCGAAGCAGGCCGCGTGTGGCTGATCTTAGCTCTGCCAAGCGGGAACAATTTCCCCCCGCCTTTCCCCAACGCCTCAGCGCAACAGAACTAACACGGTCTGACATCTGGCATTTTAAGAGAACTAGTTCTTGGCACCCGCACAGGCACGCACATACCCCATAGGCGCGGGTGCCCTAAGCCTACCCTAAAACTCCATTTGTTTCAAAAAGCACCAAGCGTAAACCACAACTAAACCCACTCTAAAACCATCTTACACCCCAACATTAAGAGCCACCCTTAACAAGCCCTAAGCAAAGCCTATGCCAACCCTAATACCATATCAAACCCTAAACCACCGTAAGCCACCAGCCTAACCCACCCTAAACCAACAGGCAAGCCCTATACCAACCCCACCACCTAACCTACCCTGGAGCGCCTCGTTGGGCACAGAGAGAGATTTAGCAAAGATGCGTTGCGTGAAGACGCATGTGTTGACGCAGCGTATGATTTTCCTTGCAGAAAGTATCGCGGGGACCTTTGCACTCGCAGCTTTGCCGTACCTAAAGCGAAGTGGTCCCAGTCCAGGCCCCAGTGTAGACACAGCTCCAGCAGGGTGCCAGTTCTGGGCTTTCTTCGGGCACGCAAAGTCCGTACAGCATAGAGAAAGGCATCCTTGATCGTATGGTGATTAAAGCATATGGACCATTGCTGTTGCTTTGGTGAGGTGCCCGAAGTGGCCCCGAAACGTCGTATGCTTGCGCGACTGTAATTGACAGTTTGCCGTGCTCGCTCGGCGCAATCCCTCGCGGGTGGCACCCGGTATTTTGGGCCAGCGGGAGAAGCCAAGTTTAGCTCAGGAAGGAGGGTGCGGTGACATTCAGGGCAGGAAGTACGAATCTGCTGTTTTTCCAACCTATGCTGGCAGAACTCGCACCCTCTGCGCAGTCATGGGTGCGGTCGTTTTCGGCCTGTCCTTTTGGCCCCCCTCCTGGCGCGGATTACCGTGCTGCAATGTCATTGCGCCGCTTCCCGGCTGCGATTTGCCATGTGGCGGCGGCTTTGCGGTGGCGTCGGACGGGTGCATTAAGGACATTCGACGCGTTGGCAAGCGGAACGCCTTGATCAAAGACATGGCCCTTTGTGTTGCGAGGTGGCCGTCGCGGCTTGCGCAGCCGAGTCAGATGAGGAAGCAACCAGCTCAGCAAAGGAGTGGGAGGTGGCTCGTGCAGCTTAGCGGAAGAACCGGGGCTGGCTGCTCCAAGCTCGACCGGCAGGCGCCTTGTTTGCGACAGGGTTTTTCTGCAAGTTAGCTTTCTTTTGCGCACGAGTTCAACGGCGCGTGGTACTGACCTGCGCTTGTTTGCTGCACGTGCATGGAGAGCGCGACGCCAGAGCTGGCGGCGCTTCTCTTTGAGCTTGGCGTTGACAACGGGCGCCTGGCGAGCAATTTGGGGCTGAGCTGCTGGTGTTGGATGGTTGACAGACCAGCTTGGCTCATTTTGGCTCCACATGCGTCGCAGTAAGCCACACCCGCTCCGAGTATAGAGTATAGGATCGCCACAGTCAGCGTGCGCTTGCGGGCTTGGGTTTCAGGCCTACCTCAACGTTGGGCCAAGCGATTTGTTAGCAAAGTCCAACACTGCAGACCTTGAGTCTGGCTCTAGTTGGCAAGCTCTTTGGGAGGCATGTTCTTCAAGAGGCTGCAGTGACGCAGCCAGAGGCACATCCACGAGCTTACTGATAAGCGGAAACATGTTCTTCTTTGTGCGCCGAACGGAAGCGCCAAATCAACTCACAATCTTCCCGAACTGCGAACATTTGCCTTCAACAATCCCCACTAAACCAAGCCTGAGCCCTGAACCCGCTGTAAACCCCAGCTCAGACCGGCAGCCCGCTGGTGCTTAAAGGCACGGGAGTGACAGCTGGGTTTATTCTAAGAACTAATTTAAACCTCTTTTCTGCGCTTTGTTTGGGAGTGACCTTTTCAGACGTGCTTCGAGTTGTTTCGGCGGAATCAAAAGAACGCCGCTTTTTGCAATTTACACTTATGACACATACCAAGCAGAATTGTTTTGGCGTGTGGATGGGCTTCGTCGTGTTAAGGAGGGCAAATGCAACCCTTAGATCGCGAAGAGCATTGGCCGTGTGTTCGGAACTCCCGATATTTGCTTGGGCGTTTGTCAACACATGGCGGATCATGGATGCCCCCCGGGGACCAACTGGCCCATCCACATAATTGATCATAAGGATCCTTCGCTTAGGTTGCAGCAATGGACTCGGCTGTGCTAAAGCTTGTAGTTGTTGCCTACGGTTGGTCTGCGGCCATCCCGTGGCACTGGCAAACGCTTGAGGGGCCATCATGCAGCCACGCGCGTTTTGTCTGCCAGGGGGCAACTACTGCGTGCCACTATGACATGAACCAAAACATTTTCCTGCAGCTGCACGGGGCAAAGAGGCGCGGCCGGCGGTTGGCTGGGCGAAACACTGCTCTACCCCAAAAAACAGGTTGGCGTTTTATCTGCCCGGCGGGCCTCCTCCAGTGCCCAAGTTGCCAAGCAGCTTTCCTTCCAGTTCCTTCATTGTAACAGGGCCCTTTCCACATTTTGCTACGACCAAAAATTGTGTACCTTGGTGGTGTTTTTTTCAAAGGACCATTCAGGGGGTCAGCATGGTCCTGAACGAGCAGGGCCCCAGGAAGCCGAAAGCAGCGCTTCAGAATCAACATCCAGCACCAAGAAAACACCTCAACAACAATCCGAAAACAAAGCCCAACAAGCCTAAATGCGTTTGAAACTGTATTTTGCAACGTGATGTATTTATCAACCATGTAAAACCCCAATGCATGAATGTCTCACTAGCGCAGTCTCGCCGTTACGGCTGCGCGTGGCTCAAGGAAAAAGCGTGCTGTAGGCAGGGTTCATTGTTGACCCTTCCCGGTTGTTTAACCCGTTCTATAGGTTATCAGCCGTAAGCGGCTCTTTGTACAGAGTTGTACGCCATGGATGGCGATCCTGGACTACCCCCTACTGAGGTGCGTCCCACACCTGATGAGCCCGCAGGCGATGAAGACGCCTCGCAATACGAACCGAGTAGTCGCGCGAATTCCCAAGTGGCCAGGGAGCTCATCAGGAAGGGACAAGCTTTGAGCAGTCAGGGCCCCGAATCGCTTCGATCTCGAAGCGACCGTGGGAGGACTGGGCGGTCTGGTGCTCGATCTCCTTCACCTGTTGGATCAGATCGGCATCGGCATGGTGACATCGTCATGTATGACCCCCAGACCGATCTCGCAAGGGGAAACCCTATGCCACAGTCCATGACTCAGTTCAATCAACATGTTGCAAACGTTCACCTCGATCCTTCGATGACGATCAACCAGGAGGTGACGAACTATCAGCAAGTCAACGCTACTCAGAACAACGCCCAGTTCAACCAGTTCGTGAATCAGGACACCGGTCCCATGGTCGCCCAGTTGGCAGAGGCAAGGCATGGTGAGATCATTTCCGGACTTCAAAGGCAATCGGAGGCCATGAGACGCGAGATTCAGAAGAATGCGGAGCAGCGTGTGAACACCATGAAATCAGAAAGAGAAGCCGAGATGAAGTATCAAAACGCCATGAATACGATCAGCGAGCAGGAGAAACAGATCAGGGAGCTGAGGGCTATGGTCGAGCAGATGATGCAGAATCAACAGCAACCGCCCGCTCAACCTGCTCCGGCTCCTGCACCTCCCATTCAGCAGGCACCAGCTACCCCCTTGGCTATCCCAACAATTCCTTTGGCCGCATCTCCACCCGGACTTTCGAATGCTTCCTCGCACAGTTGGACGAAGGTCGGGAGCGACCCCTACGGCAAAGACGGATCCGTTCCCGCCGGGGCCGTGGACGATGCTGCTACCGGAGACGGTTGGCCTGGTGATGATGGTGATGGTGGAAATGACAAGGACAAGCAAAAGAAAAATAAGAAGAAGAAGAAGAAGAAGGACCGTAGCCGACGCAGGCGACGAGATCCGTCATCTTCTCCCTCGTCATCTTCATCGTCAATTTCGACTGCATCGGATGAATCGTTTCGACGAAAGCTACTGAAGCACTTAGGTAATTCGAGCGATCCGACAACGGAACGCGTTCGTGTAAAGGAAGGTGACAGAATTCAGATTCCCCGATTCCCGAAGCCCGAACAGTACCGTAATTGGAGGATCAAAGTTAGGGATGCTGTTGTTGCTACTTCCGATCAAGCCGAGAAGGCATTTGAATGGATTGAAGCAACTTGGATCCCAGGTCAAACTGTTGAAGTCCTTCGTGATTCAGGAATGTTTGCCCATCTTGACGCAAAGCTGGCATCGGCGTTGACGAACATCTTGGAGGGCGACCTCGCGCGGCAAGTCGACATTTTCAAAGAACAAGAAGCAAAGGAGAAACGATACGCAAGGGGACGTCAGATTCTTTTGATGATTCATAAGCACTTCAGCACGAACATCAAACATGGTGCAATTTACGACTTCGAGGATTTGCTCTCTGTCCAGCTCATCAACGAGGACCTCAAGAACTTCATGACGAGATGGGAGAAGACCCTCGAGGCGCTGTTCCACCGCCAGATTCGAAAGTTTCGGCCTCTCAGTCACGACCTAAATGAATATGAGCGGGCTGAGGAAGGGACGGAAAAGCACTCCTATAAATTCTTGATTGATGCATCGAGGAATTATTTGGAGCGGAAGCGGCTTGTTCACATGCGGGATGCTATGTCGAGCAACACGACGGGACGTGGCCGGACTCCATCGAACAACCCTGCTGTTCCTGGAATCCCTAAGGGTGTATGTGTGAAATTTCAAACTGGCCAATGCACCTATGGTTCAGACTGCCGATTCGAACATGTGAAGGCACCGAAAGGTACGGGGAAAGGCAAGAAGGACGGATCAAGGTCTCAGACCCCAAGGAAGTATCGTTCGCAGAGTCCCCCTGGTTCAAAGCCCCAGGTGTGCAAGTTCTTCAAAGCGAACAGATGCGAGAGAGGGAAAGACTGCCCATGGCAGCACCCCGCAACTTCCAAGGCAGCTCCAGCCCCAAAGGCCGACAAGAACACTAGTGGAGATACCCCCAAGACATCGCCGAGAGACAAGAAAAAGAAGAAGAAGGGTAGCAGGCCTTCTTCTCAAGATTCGAAAGATTCGAAGGGTTCTCAGTCCCTCAAGTCTCCGCGATCGTCAAAAGGCAGCAATGCCGCGGTGTGCCTCCTACAGGCGATGGTGTGCGCCGCGACCCTCGACTCGGTTGCCTCGTATCCTTGCTTGCCTAGTGTGAGTCACGATGTTTTTCAGGGTATGCCATGTATCAAGAAGTGTGTGCAATTCTCAGACTACCCATCTATTTCGAACTATGAGACTGACGGCGAGCTTTGGCCCTACACTGCCTCGTCGAGAAGGTTTGCACAAGAGTTTCCTGTTGATTACACTCCAAAGTTAGATAAGAGAGCTGTTTCAGACGCAACTCTTGTCGGTGCTATGCATGAAGCAATGGTGAAGGACTTACTCAATGGCACGAAGACTTCATGTAAGTTTCAATGCGACTCTGATTTCAGCTGCGATTCCTGCATCCCCGCAGGCCTAACGGCCGAGCCAGAGAAGCCTGAAATTTCCCCAAAAAGGGAAACGCTGCTGTTGCTTATCTACCAATGGATTCTTCTCACATTCCGTGGATCGCGGACACAGGCGCTGCTCAGGATTTGCTGTCGAGAACGGATGCGGAGACGGGGAGTATTTACGAATCGTCTCAACCACTGAAGTTTTCCACGGCCAATGGGAATATTTTCGGTACTGAGCAGGCCAATGTCAAGATCAAACAGACCGATAGTGTTGTTCGGCCGTATGTTCTTGACAAGACCCCATCCGTGTTGTCCGTGGGTATGAGATGCCTCAAAGACGGATACGATTTCGTTTGGAGAGCACACAGCAGACCTTATTTCAGACTCCCGGATGGTTCACGCATCAAGCTCGAGGTTAAAGACAATGTACCATTCATCCCTTCAGAGACCCAAAATGCTGTTCCAGCTTTGTCACAAAGCATTCCAAAGGTTACAACTTTGCCATCAGCTCCCATTGAAATTGAGGACGAAGTTCTAGTCATTGACGAAGAACCAGAAGCTGTGGAAGAGATGCTTGTGACCAATGAGGATGATGGGGACGAATTGGGAAACGACGATTTCTTGCTTGAAGATGCTATAAGCCAACCGGAAGGTGAGGTCATTGAAAAGTGCCATGACATCGAAATCGGCATTCATCAATCTAGAGTTGCACTTGTAGTTCGAGATGTTGCCACTGATTTCCGTTATGTTTACCCAGCAGCACGGACAACCTCTCATCAATGTGTGATGGCTTTCAAACACTTTGTCCGCACCGGGGAAACCGTGAACATATTTTACAGTGATCGGGCTCCTGAACTTGTGAAAGCTGCGGATCAATTGGAATGGAAGCATGTTCAAAGTACAAACTACATTTCCAAAACGAATGCCATTGCCGAGAGGAACGTCAGGGCAATTATCGAGGGCACGAGGACCAACCTGGAACAAGCTGGTTTGCACCATTCATATTGGCCACATGCGGCCAAACACAATTGCATGGCGCACAACATCACGGATCACCCAGATTATCATTCACCTTGGAAGGTGCGTTTTGGAGAAGATTTTCCCGGACCATATTTGCCTTTTACTTGTCAAGTCAACTTTTGGACTGGCCCGAGGAATCGACCCAACAAGCCTTTGAAGTTTGAGCCTACTTCCAGGGCAGGAATATTTCTGGGGTGTCCTATCCATCCTGACTTTCTTTGGCGTCACGAATTTCTTGTTATTCCTTTGCGAGATTTGATGGAGAAGGACTATGATCAACCTATTGCTCCGCTGAGAGTAAATCAGATCAAATGTCCGGATGGTGAATTCTCTTTTCCAATGGTCGAACGGCACTTATTGCACATGAATGGCGTAATGCCAGGGCTTGAATACGCTCCTGAAACGCCTGATCCAGCTGCATTAGATGCGCCGCTCTTTGAAGAGGATTTGCCGGCAGAGATGCCAGGCCAGGATGACATCATTGATGATCAGGAACTCGCCGAAAACCTCGGAAAGCTGATCAAAGTTTCCCCCGAAAAGGAAACCGCATCGGAATAAATGGTCAAAGTCATCGATTTGAAGACCAGCAAGGACACCCTTGTTCCTAAAGATGGAGGTGCTCATTACGATGCGGGGGGTGTGAAAGCTCGGAGGTATTCGGGATCAAGCAAACCCGACAGTATTCCACCTTTTCTTTGGAAAACAATGTCAATAAAGCAAAGGAGGCTTGCTATCATCAAAGAAGAACGAGAGAAGGCTCACAAGGCTTTCCCCGATGAGCCCGTCTCCGAGGACCCGGAAGCTTCTTCCTCCAAGGCTAGGCCGGCGACCACTGCAGTTAACAATGGATTGGAGGATGAA